CAACAAAAAAGTGCCTATTTTTGGAAATTAATGTCTCAAACTCTGGATATCACAGCAACAGGTATTCTTTAAATTCATAATCAATCATTTCTCCCAAATAATTTCATACATTTATTTTATAAGCAATGATTAATTCACCAAACAAACCTAAGTCACAAAGCGCTTTCTGTTTAAGTCTTCCTTGTCAGGAAATCCAAATATTTTATAATTTATAGGACAGTAATGAACAATTACAGACAAAACACTAGCGAGTAAAAATACTAATTATGTTACTGTGGTCTTTGTGTGGCTTTGGCACAAAAGGTTGCTTATTTACAATGCTGCAACATCACCTTGGTAATGAAAAGAGTGGCATATGTGTCCTGGCTGCTCAAATATTAACTACCAATGAGTCATACTTGTAGCTGAGAACTTACTCTGAAAAAAATAGGGGGAAGAATGCTGTGCCTGTAAGTGAGAAACAACCTCTGGTGTTCATGCTCACATTTACAATGAGACATGGTGAAATCTTGTCTATTTTCTTGTCAACTGATCTTCTTTCAAAATAAATTTCCTTTTTTGACCATCACAAGGAATATTTTTATTAATAACATTGGTAAAAATCTAAAAAGGCAAGCTTATTAAATCTTCCTAACTTCTTTCTGCCACTGAACTACTTACTGACTGCTTACTATGTGACAGAATGACATCACACTGGGCCTTAAGATACACTTGAGATACAAGGGTGAAGAAGACACAAGCCTTGTTTTCAAGGAGCTTATAATCTTACGGCAGGGAGTGGGAGAGAGAGGAACCAATATGCAATTACAATAAAAAAAAAAAGTCAATGCATAATCATCAATAGGATAATATAATCATGATTTTAAAAATATCCCAATGTTCTTCCTCATCTGGACTCTGGAAAAAATAAAATTAAAAATATGGCCAGGCACGGTGGCTCACGTCTGTAATCCCAGCACTTAGAGAGGCCGAGGTGGGTGGATCACAAGGTCAGGAGATCAAGACCATCCTGGCCAACATGGTGAAACCCAGTCTCTACTAAAAATACAAAAAAAAGTAGCTGGGTGTGGGTGTGCGCCTGTAATCCCAGCTACTTGGGAGGCTGAGGCAAAAGAATCGCTTGAACCCGGGAGGCAAAGATTGCAGTGAGCCGAGATCGCGCCACTGCACTCCAGCCTGGCGACAGAGCGAGATTCTGTTTCAAAAAATATATATATATACACACACACACACACACACACACACACACACACACATATCTGTATATAGATATAGACAGCTATCTATCTCCATCCCAGTGAGGTAATAATGGGATAAAATAAAATGACATTTCAGAGGTTTAGGAGCTCAAAATCAATTCTATAACTATCAAGTTCAGAAAGCCTTGATTGATGGCAGTTAAGTTTTTAAAAAAAGATTTATAGGTTTTAGCTGAGTACAATTCCATAAAAGCACAAAAGTCAACTATGTGAAATGGCTGCTAAAAAACTACTGTATGTGGTTATCACTTCATAATGCATATCAAAAATCATGCTGTACATCTTAAAATATACAATTTTTATGTATCAATTCTACCTGAATAAAGCTGAGGGAAGAAAAAGAAAATGTAATTAAAAGAAATGTGTCCAGATCAAGGAGGATAGTAATCCCACTGTCTCCATGTCTACAGTTACTTGTGCTATTTTAAGAGGCTCACTCAAGAGGAGCATCAAAAAACTAGCCATGTTGAATATGTATGTGCCCATGCTTGCTAGTGGAGCACCGATACTGAAGTATCTGTGTAAACCATGTTATGTAAAAAGGTAGATACCTGGCTCAAAATAAGACTTAGAGGTGGATGGTAGAGAGGACAATGTAAAACAACTGTGACAAATGTCTCAGAGCTGGTAGAAAATAAAAAAAAAAAAAAGCCCCAACGGTGTTTCATAGAAATAAAAAAAAGGCAAATTTGGCCAGGCGCGGTGGCTCATCCCTATAAATCCTAGCAATCTGAGAGGCCAAGATGGGTGGATCACGAGGTCAGGAGATCCAGACCATCCTGACTAACATGGTGAAAACCCATCTCTACTAAAAAAATACAAAAAATTGGCCAGGAGTGGTGGCTCATGCCTGTAATCCGAGCACTTTGGGAGGCCAAGGCAGGCGGATCATGAGGTCAGGAGATCGAGACCATCCTGGCTAACACAGTGAAAACCTGTCTCTACTAAAAATACAAAAAAAAAAAAAACTAGCCGGGCATGGTGGCGGGCGCCTGTAGTCCCAGCTACTCGGAAGGCTGAGGCAGGATAATGGCACGAACCCAGGAGGCGGAGCTTGCAGTGAGCCAAGATCGTGCCACTGCACTCCAGCCTGGTGACAGAGCAAGACTCCATCTAAATTTAAAAATAATAATAATAATAAAATAAATAAATGGCAAATTTGGGCCTAATATGAAGGACTTCAAATACATTGGACTTTCCCACATTAAATTAGCCTGAAGAGTGGTAAACTCTATGAACTAGAAGAAAGTAGTCAAGCAGATTTAGATGATTATTAAGAAAATCCTGAAAGCAATTCTTATACTAGGAGGTAGGGGTATCGAGGGGATTTGAAACAGATAACTAAAGCTCTTCCTATCTTGGAAAAGTCTGTAGCTACCTTGTTAGTTGCAGGCAAGGATATTAAGATGATGTCCACCACAGCTCTTTTAAGAGTAGTGGGTGATCTCAAGAAGCAGAAAAGAGGCCAGTAATCACCACTGAACTGCATATAAGACCTAGAAGGCTTTGTGATCTTTACATGTTTGTTAGAAAAGGTACAGGGAGACAGACCAACAACGGCCAGCCTACCTGACTATGAGTCAACAGCTGGCCTAACCAGTATAACAGAGCCCTCCTATTCCCACTCATGACAATGATGGATGTACCAGTCTCAGAGATTCCAGTTTTTCCTTGCTGCTTAAGTGAAAGGCAATTTGTATAGTCACCTTTCCTCTAATGCCCTCCCTATTTACTCCTTGTTTTAAGTGCACAGAGAATGCTGAAACTTCAAGGGCTTGCAATTTTCTGTATTTGGGGAGAGTACCAACCGAGCAGCACAGATGTTATTCCTACCCAACAAATTCATTAGATTTTTTGGCTCTATATTGAAAAGGGAAGATTGGTCTGATTTGGTGGATCTATTTGAAAGGGCTTACAGAGGAAATCCTGAAAACTGGCCTGTTCACTTCCCCACTTAAACTTCAAAGTTGGACTGGATTCAGCATGTTTTTACCTGACCCTTAGATTTATAAGACATACACAAACATGCTTATCATAAGTGGGCTGTGACAGTCTTTTCCCTAAAATTTATGAAACATGGAATAACTTAACAACATTATGAAACCAGGAATATAAGAGAAACAACAATTAAAATGTAGTTCTGGGGCATCTGGGAAGATAAGCCTCAAGTTATGTATACATCCTGTGAACTCAGTTGCCAGTCTTAAATCTTATGCCAAAAACACTCCAATCAATTAACAAATATATACTGAGAGGTTACTGTGAGCAAGAACTCATACTAAGTTCAATGGAAGACAAGTCCATTGTGGGCTCTCTGGGTTATGACTATAGCTGATTATTGCTATAGTCAGGGTATAATAAAACTTGAATAACACACAATGACTCATATAATTCTAAATATTTTAGGAAGTAGAACTCAAATTCCTTCAGTAGTACCTTCAATAGGGTTACCTGAAATAGAAACCAACAGTATGATGGCTCATGCCTGTAATCCCAGCATTTTGGGAGGCTAAAGGCAGGAGGATCACTTGAGTCCAAGAGTTCAAGACCAACCTGAGCAACACGGCAAAACCCCATCTCTACTAAAAATACAGAAAATTAGCCTGGTGTGGTGGTGCATGCCTACAGTCTCAGCTACTCAGGAGGCTGAGGCAGGAGAACTGCTTGAGCCTAGGAGGTCAAGGCTGCAGTGAGCTGTGATCCTGCCACTGCACTCCAGCCTGGGCGATGGGAGTGAGACCCTGTAGAAAGAAAAGGAAAGGAAAAAGGAAAAAGGAAAGGAAAGGGGAAAAACAAAAAAAGAAAGGAAAAAGGAAAAAGGAAAGGAAAGGAGAAGAGGAGACCCTGTCATGAAAGAAAGAAAGAAAGAAAGAAAGAAAGAAAGAAAGAAAGAAAGAAAGAAAGAAAGAAAGAAAGAAAGAAAGAAAGAAAGAAAGGAGGGAGGGAGGGAGGGAGGGAGGGAGGGAGGGAGGGAGGAAGGAAGGAAGGAAGGAAGGAAGGAAGGAAACCGAGCTTTAGTCATTCACAGAAAACCTGTCACAGTGAAGGGGGCATAAAGTAGAGGAAATTCTACTAATGTCAAATAGTGAAAATAGCTCTGAAAGATTTCATCTTCTGAGAGATTTATCTCTACAGGTAAATGTTAGCAAAATATTTTTCTGGAAGCCAGTAAGATACTTGAGAAATCAGAGCTTTTAGGTAAAAAACAAACTTTTTAAAAAGTGATTAACTTAATTTTTAAAAATTGCCAAAGGTCATAGGTTATTGCAATCATATGGATAGCTCTTGCAAATTAATGAGAACAATGGATAAAATGACAGTGCTGTAGTATTTCAGAATGTATATTTTAGTATGTCTTTAAAACAGATAAACCACTTCAATGTGGTAAAGTATATTTTGCAAATTACCAACATTTCCTCCTTTCTTTTGGTATAAGTAAAGAAATGAAAAGAGAATGAACTATTGAAAAGCAAATCCTTCACACTATGTGTATTTGACAAATGGAAAGCATCTGCAGGTTGGTCTGTGGGCACAGTCATAGCAACACAGTTCCCCTGTCAACTCAACTCCAGGAACCAGATAGCAACTAGCTTTGTGTCTGACTATGTTTATTTACCTATCCGGCAAGCAGGGGAGACAGATGGTTTGGTAAAAAGGGTAAACCAGACAAAAAATTTGTATATTTTAGGGCTTCCAGCTAAGCTACATGCTAAGGAAGTGGAGAAGAAAGACTTGACTTACCTGCACTGCCAAGCTGTTTATAAAATCTGTACTCTAAATGAAGCTGTGGAGCACGTGATTTTATTGGTTCCTGAAATCCAAAAAGAAAAACTGATCAGATTTCAACAAATGGGATTTTTCCATTCTTAAAGTTTTGAAGTAAACAACGGTTAAGATCACCTAATGTTTTAGAGATGATATCCACATATGAGAGCCTTTTCTAACCACAATTTGTCTTAGACAGTACAGTTAAGAGAAGATGAAGGTGAATTACATACAACTCCTTCCATGGATAGTTAAATAAAAATAGACTTTGCATGAGCTATCATTCAAGGATACCTTTCTTGCAATGAAATATTCTCCTGATATGTATTTTCCCAGGAAACTTGATGCCAAACCTTTAAATAAAAAAAATACCAGAATGTATTTCCTGCTTGTTTTGTTCTGAATTTTTGGGAGGTTCACGGTTTTATTATTTTTAGAAAAATAATGCATGCTCAGAAGAAAATTCCAATACACAAAAATTAGAAAGCAAAAATCATCTATGATCCTGCCACTTTAAAGAGAGGCACTATTAACATTTTAGTGAATGCCTTTCCAAGTATTTATCTATATATGTATTTATATATAATATAGACTGATGAACTTAATTTTATATAAATGAGATTATAATATATTTGCTGTTCATTAATGTGCTGTTGAATTCAACAATGTAATAACATTTTCCCATGGCAGTAAATAAACGTGTATAATGTCTTGTTTTTTTTTTTTTAAGACAGGGTCTCGCGCACTGCAGTCGAAACCTCCCAGGTTCAAGTCATCCTCCTATCTTAGCCTCCCGAACGGCTGGGACCACAAGTGTGTGCCATCACTCACAGCTAATTTTTATTTTTTTGTACAGATAGGATCTTACTATGTTGCCCAGGCTGGTCCCAAATTCCTGGGCTCAAGCAATCCTCCCACTTCAGCCACCCAAAGTGCTGTGGGATTACAGGCATAAGCCACTGCACCTGGCTTATATTATTTTTAATGGTTTAGGTATTGCCCTGTATGTGCATATGTATTTTGTATTTACGTATGTATGTATACACACCCTCCCCATAATTTTTGGACATGTGAACTGTTTTCACTTTCCAATATTATGAACAATGCTTTTAGGAACATGCTTATGTATATTTCTTTTTAAACTGTTAAGAATTAAAGATTGTAAACACAATTAAAATATGTAACTTCAATCAATGTGGTGTTCAAGTTTCCAAAAATTGAGTTTTCTAAAAACCTCAGAGATAAAGCAGCCAAACAACCACACTTTGCTCTATACCAATTGAGCAACTGGCTGGTTGATTATTCTAAACTGAGAGTGTACTGGGCAACTGGCTAACAAGAAAACCAAACATTACCCTAAGCACATTATAATCTCTCTTTAAAAGCTCAACAGTAGCTGACATGGTGGCTCATGTCTGCAATCTCAGCACTTTCTGAGGCTGAGACAGGAATTTGATACCAGCCTGGGCAACACAGCAAAACCTCATCTTTACAAATAAACAAATAAAATAGGATAGGCATGGTGGCTCAAGCCTGTAATCCTAGCACTTTGGGAGGCTGAGGCGGGAGAACTGCTTGAGTCTAGGAGTTCGAGACCAGCCTGGGCAACATAGGGAGACCCTGTCTCTACCAAAAATTAAAAAATTAGCCTGGTAGGATGGCACGCTCCTGTAGTCCCAGCTACTCAGGAAGATGAGGTGGGAGGACTGCTTGAGTCCCAGAGATCAAGACTGCAGGGAGCTGTGATTGTGCCGCTGTACTCCAGCCTGGGCGACAGAGTGAGACCTTGTCTCAATCAATCGATAAATAAAATAAAGTTCAACATCTGCACACCCATTAGGACGGCTATCATCAAAAACAGAAAATAACAAGTGTTAACGAGGATGTGGAGAAACTGGAATCCTTGTGTACTGCTGATGGGAATGCAAAATGGTGCAGTGACTGCTAGGGAAAATGGTATGGCAATTTTTCAAAAAATTAAACACAGAATCATTATGATTCACAATTCTCTTTCTGGATAGATGCTCCAAAGAAGTGGAAGCAGGAATTCAGATTTATTTTTACATGCATGTTCATAGCATTATTATTCACGATAACTAACAGGTGGAAGCAACCTAAGTGTGTATGATTGGACGAACGGATAAACAAAATTGGGTATATACATATGGTGAAGTATTATTCAACATTTTTTTTTTTTTTTTTTTTTGAGACGGAGTCTGGCTCTGTCGCCCAGGCTGGAGTGCAGTGGCCGGATCTCAGCTCACTGCGAGCTCCGCCTCCCGGGTTTACGCCATTCTCCTGCCTCAGCCTCCCGAGTAGCTGGGACTACAGGCGCCGCCACCACGCCCGGCTAGTTTTTTTGTATTTTTTAGTAGAGACGGGGTTTCACCGTGTTAGCCAGGATGGTCTCGATCTCCTGACCTCGTGATCCGCCCGTCTCGGCCTCCCAAAGTGCTGGGATTACAGGCTTGAGCCACCGCGCCCGGCCATATTCAACCTTAAAAAGGAAATTCTGACACATGCTACGACATGGGCAAACCTTGAGGACATTATGCTCAGTGAAATAAGCCAGTTATAAAGGACAAATATTGCATGAGTCCACTTAATATTAAGTACCTAGCAGCCAGGTGCAGTGGCTCACACCTGTAATCCTAGCACTTTGGGAGGCTGAGACGGATGGACTGCCTGAGCTTAGGAGTTCGAGACCAGCCTAGGCAACACAGTGAAACTCCGTCTCTACTAAAATACAAAAAATTAGCCAGGAGTGTCAGCATGCACCTGTAGTCCCCGCTATTCAGGAGGCTGAGGCAGGAGAATTGCTTGAACCCGGGGGGTGGAGGTTGCAGTTAGCCTAGATAGCACCACTGCACTCCAGCCTGGGTGACAGAGCAAGACTCTGTCTCCAAAAAAGCAAACAACACAAAAAAAATTAAGTATCTAGTGTAGTCAAATTCATAGAGACAGACAGAATGGTGGTTGCCAAGGGGTTGGGGGGAGGGGAGTGTTTAACAGACAGGAAATTTCAGTTGGGGAAGATGAAAAAGTTCTGGAGATGGATGGTGGAGATGGTTGTACACCAATATAAATGTACTCAATGCCACTGAACTTTTTTTTTTTTTTGACATGGAGTTTCACTCTTGTTGCCCAGGCTGGACTGTAATGGCATGATATTGGCTCATCACAACCTCCGCCTCCCGGGTTCAGCGATTTTCCTGCCTCAGCCTCCCAAGTAGCTGGGATTACAGGCATGTGCCACCACGCCTGGCTAATTTTTGTATTTTTAGTGGAGATGGGGTTTCTCCATGTTGGTCAGGCTGGTATCAAACCCCTGACCTCAGGTGATCCGCCCGCCTCAGCCTCCCAAAGTGCTGGGATTACAGGCATGAGCCACTGCACCTGGCCAATGCCACTGAACTTTAAAAAATTGTTATAATGGTAAATTCTGGATATCACCTGTTATTAGATAATATTATTTTGTCCTATTCCTTTCCATGGGTTGCCCTTTTTAAAATTCTGTTGACAGTATGCAAAAGTTTTAAATTTTGCTGAAGTCCAACTTAGCTTTTTCTTTTGTTGTCTGTGATTTTGGTGTCATATCCAAGAAATCACTGCCAAATTCAATGTCATGAAGCTTTTCCCACGTGTATTCTGGTAAAAGTATTATAGTTTCAATCTTACATTTAGGTCTTTGATCCACTCTGAATTGTTGAATACAATGTAAAGTAAGAATCCAACTTCACTGTTACGTGGGTATCCAGTTTTTCTAGCATCATTTGTTGAAAAGACTGTCCTTTCCTCCACTGAACGGTTATTTGTCTTTTTTTTTTTTTTTTTTTTTTTTTGAGATGGAGTCTTACTCTGTCACCCAGGCTGGAGTGCAATGGCACAATCTCAGCTCACTGCAACCTCCACCTCCCGGGTTCAAGCAATTCTTCTGCCTCAGCCTCCCAAGTAGCTGGGACTACAGATGCACGCCACCACACTCGGCTAATTTTGTACTTTTAGTAGAGATGAGATTTTACCATAGTGGCCAGGCTGGTCTCAAACTCCCGACCTCGTGATCCACCCACTTCAGCCTCCCAAAGTGCTGAGATTATAGGTGTGAGCCCCCGTGCCCAGCCTATTTGTCTTATGTTTAAGACAGACTCCAAGAAGGAGATTTCATAACTTCTCTCAATAATTCATGCTGATGTTGAACAAGTTTCAAGGTTTGGAACACTTTTATATTATACTCAAATCTCACTACTGAAACTTAAGCCTATTTTTCTTAAGTCCTCAGCAAAAAAATAAAAAAACTCCTCAATAACCTCAAATACTATTAAGTAGCTCTCTTCAAATAACAAAATAATCCAATGATTTCCTAGACTTTCTTTCCTCAGGCAAAGTAATTTCAAATTCCTTTCACCTTTCCTCATAGGTCCTAGCTTTTAGTTCTTTGATTATCTTTGAAGGCTCTTTCCTGAATCCATTTGAAGTTTTCTGCATTTTTCTTAAGATATAGAATCCATTAACCAAAGAATTCAGAAGTTTCTCTGAAGTTGTCTTGTCTACCCCTCTGCTTCTAGGAAGATTTTATCTCAATCAATTCAGGCCAGACTGGAATGTTCATATCTGTAGGAAGCGCTATGAAGAAAGAAATCATACCCTTCTTTGAGTATAAAATCAGCAATCATTAGAGTTGGACTTCAAGTGTCTCAAGACTTTTAGTCAAAAGAAAAGTACATGGCCGGGCATGGTGGCTCACGCCTGTAATCCCAGCACTTTAGGATGCCGGGGTAGGTGAATCACGAGATCAGGAGATCAAGACCATCCTGGCCAACAATGGTGAAACCCCGTCTCTACTAAAAATACAAAAATTAGCTGGGCATGGTGGTGCATGCCTGTAATCCCAGCTACTCAGGAGGCTGAGACAAGAGAAGCGCTTGAACCAGGGGAGTTGGAGGTTGCAGTAAGCCGAGATCGTGCCACTGCACTCCAGCCTGGTGACTGAGCAAGATTCCATCTTAAAAAAAAAAAAGAAAAGAAAAAAGAAAAAGAAAAGTACATAAGACTAATTATATTGTAGAATCCCTTTCCTATCTCTCTCTTCAGATAGAAAGGTATCATATCACCCTTGTGTCTCCATTTGATTGCAGATCTTCCACTGAATCACTATCAAAGCAGCCAGGTATAGAATTTTTCCATTAGCAAAGTAACTAAGAATTCACAAGGAACCAGACAGAAACAGTGATGACAAATCAACATGGAACTAGAAGTTGATCAAAACACTAGAAAAGCGACTATTCTTTCCAGAGAAATCACTTTTGGATTCTGACAAACCACAGAGGCAATGAATTTTAAAAACCACAGATCCTTCCTCAAATATTATACTCTCAATCTTCATGCTGGAAAGCATAATAGAGTAGCTAAGGTAGTAAATTAAAAATGCAAAACTCCATAGAGTTCAAGGGTTGAAAGGCATACACATCATATATTCAGACATGAGGGTCTTATTATGAAGACTGAGAGAATTACACACTTCAGCCAACTCCTTAGCACATGGCCATAGCCTGCTCAGCCAATTGGGCTTCAAGGTGCTTTTCTGGAAGCACTATAAGTAGAAGGCACTGCAAAACTCAGTCTACAGATTGCAGAAGGCAGCAATATTAGCAGCACAGAGAGATTTTTTTTAAACCCAATTGTTAGAAAACCTCTGTTAAAAAGAACCCTTAGAAATGTGGGTGATGGATAAAGGAGGGGCTCATTACACTATTTTGTTTACTTTGTGTATGATTTTTTAAAAGGTTTTTAGAAATCTAAGAAAAAAGAGTCCACAATGAAGATCCAAAGTACAACTGAAACAGCAGCAGCAGAGCTTCCCTGCATTTCTGTGCCAGATGCTGATTACATTTCCATAGAGGCTGTGCATTTGCCAGAATATTTGCCACAGTAATTCTGGAAAACACATGCCTGCCTAAAATCCTAAACAAACAGCAGACAGCTACTTTATAGGAGTATAGTGCTTAAGGCAAATTTACCATTACAATCCAAAGAGCTCAATTACTGCCTTCATATCTCCCTCTGAAGAACAGAAGCCCAAAAGGAAGAGAGAAAGCCTGTAGACAAAATTGTTATCCTCTAAAATGCCTTTCAGACTTATTTGAAAGAGAAATGCAGTACTGAGTCACACCATACTAGATTGCAAGAGTTCCATTTTTAGCTTTAAATAGTGGCCATACAAAGCAAAATAAAAGTTTTTAAAAAGGAAAGTGAAATGTAATGATCAATCATGTCAACAATATGTCATATAAGCTTATCTATACAGGTTGATTGGTATAACCTGGCAGAAGAAATCAAGATGAAAGAACTGTCCCTAACAGAAAGCCTAACAAATATGTAGTAACGTGGCAAATTTTTTAAGTGTTTTAGGAAGTGCTTCGTTCTCTTAGTAGTCCCCAAAAATCAGAGATTATTCCAACTTATCAGAATAATAAAACAGAAAAAGTAAAAAACAGTCAGTGTACTAGAGAACACTTTAATAGAATAACCAAATTCCTATAAATTAAAAAAATGTAGTTAATCCTATTTTTTTGAGATAGGGTATCACTCTGTCACCCAGGCTGAGTGCACAGGTGCAAGCAATCTCGGCTCACTGCAGTCTCAACTTCCTGGGCTCAGGTTATTCTCCCACATTAGCCTCCAAAGTAGCGGGGACTACAGGTGTATACCAGCATACCTGACGAATTTTTTGTATTTTTTGTAGAGACAGGGTTTTGCCTTGTTGCCCAGGCTGGTCTGAACTTCTGGGCTCAAGTGATCTGCCTGTCTTGGCTTGCTAAAGTGGATTACAGGCATGAGCCACTGCGTCTGGCTGGTTAATCCTCTAATATTCAATCTAAGAGGATATTTGACCTGCATTGTTAACATGTATTACCTCTTTTCCTGCTCCCATCTATCCAACAAGAGTTCCAAGTCAAAATACAAAAAGAAAACACTTGGTTTCCTAGAAGTTACCTGCTGCTCTAAGCCCTGCTCCCTGTCCACCCACCCCTTTGTAGGGAAACAAATCTGGTAACTGTCAGTTCCTCACAAGACAACCCTACCTCCTCCACAAGCAAGCTAGATGAGAAGAACGACCAATCACAGAACAAGTGTGGATGTGGTAAGTGCAATTAATTAGAAAAGAATAACAATGCCAGGCGTGGTGGCTCACACCTGTAATCCCAGTACTTTGGGAGGCCGAGCTGGGTGGATCACCTGAGCTCAGGAGTTCGAGACCAACTGGGCAACATGATGAAACACTGTCTCTACAAAAAATACAAAACTTAGCCAGGTGTGGTGGCACACACCTGTAGTCCCAGCTACTTAGGAGGCAGACTGAGGTGGAAGGATTGCTTGAGCCCAGGAGGCAGAGGTTGCAGTGAGCCAAGATCACATCACTGCACTCCAGCCTGGGCAACAGTGTGAGATCCTGTCTCTAAAAAGTAAATAAAAAGAAAGAAAAGAAAAGAATTGCATAGATTTCCTTCAACCATTAACTCCTCTAGCTTCCAACTAATAAAACAAAGCTACCTGTAAATCCTGGGATACCTACTATGAGGACAAACACAGAGTTTCAGTGAAACTAGTCATATGAAACATTTCACATGAAAAAATGGTTTTGTTATCCACCTTAAATATAAGACAAAGAATTCTGTCTTTTAAAATTATTATTCCTCACAAATAATAAAATTATTACTTCTCTTTTTTAATAGGATATCATTTTCAATGACTAGTTTAATTATTCACAAGGTTAGTATTAATATACCAATTGACTTCTTTGCTTCTAATTTGACCATATGGTATGTTTTTCATGCTTGACAGATTTTTAAGGCCATGATTAGATGATCAGTTATGATTTTCTTCTAAGTACAAAAAATAAATCAGTTTAGAGAAAAAAACAGTAAAATTTTTTAATGATTTTATCTTTTTAATTAAGATACCTCTGTGAAAGATTAAGTTCACAGAATTACTAGTTCTTCCAGCTTTTTTTAATCAACTAATTTTTGAGTCATCATTGCTAACACTAAAGTTAGTATCATTTAATTATATAGTGTTATATAGTATACAGTGATTCATCACTGTAACACTATCATTGAAGAAAAACGTGGGATCATATATTTAAAAAAACCATTAGCATTTTTGTGAATGAATGCTTAAAACTATTTCCTATAAGAAGATATAAGCAATGGGAGCACCAAAACATTAATTACCACAAACAGATTCTACTCACCAGTTTGATTGCTACATATTCATTGGTGTAGAGATTTTTACCTAAGGGGAAAGCAGAATGTATACGTTTTAGTGACATTTATTCCGGGAAAGGCAAAGCAAAATATTAGCTTACAGGGTCATGAGAAAGGTTATATTCCCCATGCTGCTCACATAAATGAAACTTGATTCATAAGTGAAAAGCTACAGAGATAATGAGATCCAGCAAGTCTAGAACAGCTTGAAAATTTAGAAATTTAAGCTACACCTGAGAATCTTCCTAAAAGAGAAAACATATCTCTCATACACACACACACATACACACACTCACACGCACGCACGCGTGTTAATATTTCTCATCTATTAAGTCACAAGGCAATTCAAGAAGAAATTCCAGAATTTCAAAGAGATTTTAGCTCTTGGCACGATAAACACAAACCTTCATTCTTCGAACTAACTGACAAATAGAATTCTATATATTTTGTCACGGTATGTCGTGTCAACTTTAGATGGCATAAAGGATAGTGTGAATAAAACCAATTATTGCCCACACCTACTTTTGGAGAATTCATCTACTGCTTGTAAGCAGATGATTCTCAAAGTTGTTTTGACTGTTCACCAGAACAATAGCTTTATATCTTTTAACTATTTACAGGAAACAGATCTTCAGTTAGACAACACTTACACATCTCAAAGTTCTTCCTGCAGTAACGCTTTTTTCTTTAAACTTTCCTGTTTCTACAAATGTAATCAATATTCCCAGACGTTTAGACTAAGAACTTGGAATGATGATGAGGACCAGAGCAACAACTTTCAATTAGTGAACCTGTAATATATGCTGGGTACTCAGCTCCTCTCACCTCCCCACCGTCACTAACCCTTGGAAGCCTTAACTTTAAATCCTCCTGAGTGCTTAGTACATATCATGTAGTTTAGTAGTTTAGCCACTGCACTGAACTTCATATCTCTTCTTACACATTTGCCTTCTTATCCAGCTAGAGTGTAAATATCTTGAGGACAGGGATTTTAAGTTTTCTCAATACCCTATGGTGCTTAAGACCGTGTTCAGCACATATAAGACACTCAAAATCTTGACTGATTAAAAGTGATTGGTACTGTATCTATAGTACGGCTATTTTAAAAATAATATACCAGTAAATGTTATATTCCTATAATACACAGCTGAATATATGTGTGTGAAAAATAATATAAAAGTAATATAAAATAGTTTTTACTATTTTCTGATTTTTATATAATGTACATTGTTTTTATAAATAAAAAAACAAGCTGGGTGTGGTGTAATCCCAACACTTTGGGAGGTTGAGGCAGGTGGGTCACTTGAGGTCAGGAGTTCAAGACCAGCCTGGCCAACATGGTGAAACCCTGTCTCTACTAAAAATACAAAAATTAGCTGGGCGTTGTGGTGAACACTTGTAATCTCAGATACTTGTGAGGCTGAGGCGGGAAAATCACTTGAACCCGGGAGGTGTAGGCTACAGTGAGCCAAGATTACGCCACTGTACTCCAGCCTGGGCAACAGAGTGAGATGCCGTCTCATAAATAAATAAACAAACAAAGAAACATAAAAAGCTGCTTACAAGTTTTCACTTACACACCTCTAGACAACTAAGGCCCTCTGCAATATAACTGCATCATTAAACTTTTCATACTGCCATCAGATTGCGAGTACTTTTATGTGTCAAAGAGTACACTAATTTAGGAATAATTTTTGTCTGCAAGTAAGATAAAAAGAAGAATAACAGGTTGGTTTCTTAGGTGTTTGACCTAAGAAACCATAAGAAACACCTAAGAAACCATAAGATGAATAACTTCTTTTTTAGGGGAGCACAAGTAGAAAATAGGCATTTCTCTAATATATATAGTGTTTGCATTAACTTTCTAAAGGTTACTTTATGTTTCTGATTACTGTTCCCACCAAAACCATTTTAAAACATATTTCATGAAATTATAAAAAGGATAGTAATAAGTAAGAGAGGAACAGATGAGGCAGTAACAAATAGCCAACTCCCAGGCAGATTAAAACTTTAATTTGACCCACGACTTCTTGCACACCAGATGTGATGCTGCGCAAAGATTTTTCAGGATAGCTCTTCCTGAAATGAAATGAGTATTGTTACTGTGACTTAAAACTAATTTTAGGGCCAGGTGCAGTGGCTCATGCCTGTAATCCTAGCACTTCGGGAGGCCAAGGTGGGTGGATCACCTGAGGTCAGGAGTTCGAGAACAGCCTGGTCAACATGGTGAAACCCTGTCTCTACTAAAAATACAAAAATTAGTTGGGGAGGGTGGTGGGCACCTGTAATCCCAGCTACTCGGCAGACTGATGCAGGAGAATCACTTGAACCTGGGACACAGAGGTTGCAGTGAGCCGAGATCACGCCATTGCACTCCAGCATGGGAGACAGGAGCAAAACTCTGTCTCAAAAAAAAAAAAAACAAAAAAAACAAAAAAACTAATTTTAGCACAAGCTTAACCATAAGAACCTAATTACAGCTCACGCCTGTAATCCCAGCACTTGGGGAGGGCGAGGCAGGTGGATCACGAGGTCAGGAGTTTGAGACCAGCCTGACCAACAGGGTGAAATCCCGTCTCTACTAAAAATACAAAAATTAGCCAGGCGTGGTGGCATGCGCCTGTAATCCCAGCTACTCGGGAGGCTGAGACAGGAGAATCGCTTGACCCGGGAGGCAGAGGTTGCAGTGAGCCGAGATCGCACCATTGCACTCCAGCCTGGGCAACAGAGCAAGACTGCGTCTCAAAAAAAAAAAAAAAAGCAAGCCATTAATACCATTTTTCCCTGTTCCTACTGCCTGTATAATTGCAGAACATCAAAGCTATCTTAAAGTTTAAAATGAAAGGTTTTGTGACCTGATAAGATCTGGGATTTTGTATGAGCATTGTGAGGTAGTACAAGATTAACTAGAAAAAAAAGAGAACAGAGGTAGGGAAAAACGTGACTATTTAATGTCCATCTACACAGATACCAGACATCTAAGATGAGCAACCTCAGTTCTCACCCTTCATAGACTGTATTCTAGCTCCTCACCCAAGGTCTTGTATGTGGTGGCTCAAAAGTGTGTCAAATAAATCACATGATACGGTGTGTGTTAAAAATGAAATACAAACAAGTCAGTAGAAGAGCCTGGATACGGAAGTTAACGAATTTGGGCAGAAGCAGCACTTGAAGTGAGCCCTGAAGGATTTCCTATTTTTAAAAAATACTAATTTGAACAATGATATGGAGAAATGATAGAAAATGCACAGGATTTGATATGCTGTGGGTAGACCCATATAATTGGAGCACATAGTGTGTGGGAAGAAATAGAAGAAAAGCCATAAAGATCCACTAAGCTAAGCACAGGTTATGAATAATATTGAATGCCAGGTCCCCACTCTGAGGTACGTATGCCCGCGGGTACCTGGAAGTGTGCCAAGGCACTTGTGTACTAAGCTACAGGACAAGTAATACACACTTTTCTTGGATCCTCATTTTCTTTTTTTTTTTTTTTTTTTTTTTTTGAGACGGAGTCTCGCTCTGTCGCCTAGGCTGGAGTGCAGTGGCCGGATCTCTGCTCACTGCAAGCTCTGCCTCCCGGGTTCACGCCATTCTCCTGCCTCAGCCTCCCGAGTAGCTGGGACTACAGGCGCACGCCACCTCGCCCGGCTAGGTTTTTGTATTTTTTAGTAGAGACGGGGTTTCACCGTGTTAGCCAGGATGGTCTCGATCTCCTGACCTCGTGATCCGCCCGTCTCGGCCTCCCAAAGTGCCGGGACCACAGGCTTGAGCCACCGCGCCCAGCCGGATCCTCATTTTCATCTGAAGATTTGGAGAAAGTCTTTTTTTATATAAAAACAAACCTACTATATTACAGAAATTGTGCATAGATTTCTTTTGAAGAAAAAAATGCAGCTGGGTGTGGTGGCTCACACCTGTAATCCCAGCACTTTGGGAGACCAAGGTGGGCGGATCACCTGAGGTCAGGAGTTCGAGACCAGCCTGACCAACATGGAGAAACCTTCATCTCTACTAAAAATACAAAATTAGCCAGGCATGGTGGTGCATGCCTGTAATTCCATCTAATCGGAAGGCTGAGACAGGAGAATTGCTTGAACCTGGGAGGCGGAGGTTACAGTCAGCTGAGATCGTATCATTGCACTCCAGCCTGGGCAACAAGAGCAAAACTCCATCTCAAAAAAAAAAAAAAGTTTCAAAGAAATCCTGGGCACTTACATATTTGTTTCTTCCACAAGAAGTCTTGATGAGTCTCATTCAGTGTGCAACCTTTTTCTTTTTTTTTTTTTTTTGAGACAGAGTCTCACTTTCCTGCCCAGGCTGGAGTGCAGTGGCGCGATCTCAGCAACTTCTGCCTCCATGGTTCAAGCGATTCTCCTGCCTCAGCCTCCAGAGTGGCTGGGATTACAGGCGTGCGTCACCATGCCCAGCTAATTTTTGTATCTTTAGTAGAGACAGGGTTTCACCATATTGGCCAGGATGGGCGCGATCTCTTGACTTTGTGACCCGCCCACCTTGGCCTCCCAAAGTGTTGGGATTACAGACATGAGCCACTGCGCCCGGCCTCAGTGTGCAACCTTTTTCTTATTTTTCCTGTATTTAGCTGGGTAGCCGCTTTTCACAGTAGAGCTGACTTTCAACTAAGTTTTCCATTTTTAGCCCCTTCTGCATCCCACCTTTGTGAAGTTCCTAGTGTCTCCAATTCCTAAGTCTATCTGGTATATTTTATAGTATTACCTGGCCTGCCCCTTCAGCCAAGCCTTCCCTGGAGTGCTAAGTGAGTTACCACCTAACCATCTGTGTTTCAGCTTCCAAAATTTTGTTAACATTTCTCAATCTGTTTTCACCTTCTCTTCCATTTTTTTGGTTCCTTGTGATTTTATGCCTTTTTGTTTAAAAAAAAAAAAAAAAAAAAAGCCTTTTTCTAAATACACTTTCTAGTCTTAAGACTAAGCCAACACCCAATTTCATAAATTTCTACCTATAATTAGTTATGCATGTATCTTTTTACTTCCACTCGGCCGTAAA